TGAGCGCATAGCTTTTATATCTCCCAGTTTTCCATAATTCAGTACAAGCCGGTGCCACGTATCAGTCCTATCAGTGTTGGATAAATTTTTAATCCATCTACTCGAAATGCAGGATTCTTGAAAAATTCCTAAAATTGATACAAAAGTATAGGTATTAATGGAAAATAATTGTACAAGTTATCATTTACTACGTTTACGCGAGCGTTACTTCTGTAGTAACTTACGATAATTCCTTCGCGTAAACGGGATTTTGTAGTAACTTACGGTAATTTACTCCGCGTAAACGAGTGATATATCGTAAGTTACTACAGAAGTAACACTCGCGTAAACGTAGTAATTATTTGGTAAATTAATCGACATACCTCCTTTTGTTTCTGTACTTCATACTGCTCCGGCGAGTCCGGCACCTCCTTGTTGCCAGTCAGACTGGAGACTGGAGTTGGCTGACGAGAGGCTGCCAGCGCTGCCATAACGCGGTAGCGGGGTCTCCGGCATCGTATCCGGTGGATGTGACAATGGTTGCTGATCCGCTGGCACGCTGGGATTTACGTAAAGATCCCGACTCCACTCCACCATGCATTTCAGAATAGACACGAGGCACTCGAGACCACGAATGCGCATGGATTTCTCCTGAAAGAGCAAGACACTAATATTACAAACAAAACTTTATATTGCTTGTTTCGAAGAACATTCTCTGTTCCAAATAATACATCTATCCTGTCATCCTCTTTCTTATAACGCACCTGATTTGGCGATGCACCTAGCTCCAAAGCTTGACAACCTTGAGCAATCTTAGAGAGATCATTGACGAGCTTCTCGAAGAGATTCGCTGCTGAGATCGCAATCGTAGTTAACGTAGATGTCGACGACGCTCTGGGCATCCGCACAGATCCTCGTAAGCGCATGTATGACCATCCACTTGTGCTCAAAAGAGCAGCTACAGGTCTCGAGGATGTTCATAAAGATCTCCTTAAAGAACACCTCAATCTGCATCTTGAGGTGCATCTTGAAACGGGCGAGCAGCGCCAGGAACAGCGCTAACGACAGCTTGAACACTTCCGGCACCAAAGACACGCCATTCTTCGACAGCACGACACACAAGTACTGTTTAATGGCGATAACAAACATCTCGTTAAAGCGCAATATTGGACCGGCATTCTGCAAGATTCCCAGAAGTAACTGAAGCGACAAGATCTTGGAACGGAGCTCGTGCGATATTGGATCGGGAGTGCCGTCCGGCAGCGGTTTCATAGAGAGCTTGCAGAGAGCGTGAAACACCAGGACTGCATCATTTTGCAGCACATGGGTGAATTTTGCAGTTACCATGTTGTCATTCTCAGCGGCTGCCTCGTCACCGTTGTTCTCCGGACTGCCGTTCTCCAAACTGACTTCCTCTTCCAATGGCACCACGGATTTTACTACATCATCAAGAATACTCTTGACAATTGTTTGAGAATCAATATTATCATTACTAGGAGCATTCTCTGGACTAACCTTGGCTTCAGTTTCGCCGTTTGCTATGACAGAACCCTCCTGCTGATATTCCCCATCAAGCCTCACGATCTCTTCCTCCGCCTGAGTCTCCATTCGCGCGAAGATCACGTTGATCATCTGCGTGAGAGTCGCACGGGCTGTTGTTTGATTCACCAGGTTGCGCGACGCCAAGTAAACGTTGTAAACAGTACGAATTGTTTAACAGTACCGTACTCTCGTGTACCTCCAAATGCTGGCTTGTCATTACAGTCAGCAGAGCTTTAATAATCTGCAGCTGCACACCCTCATCGGTCTGTGGACCGGTGAAGCAACCGCAGATTGTCTCGACAAT